CAATTAGTTGTCTGCAAAAAAACGGATTAAGTGATGAGGTGTAATAACCCTCACTTGGTTTTGTTCGGAAATCAGCTGTTTACCTGATCGTTTCTGTTAATAAGACCATGCATGATTTCTTTATTCAAAACAAGCTGATCTAAAATCAGAGCAAGAGGAGGGCACGTGTATTTAAAATCTACGCTTGTTTTTAGCATTCACTTCTGTAATTTACACTCTCTGAGTTTGCTGTCCTTATTGCAAGACCATAAAGATGGTTTGCTTGTTTTGTCCTTTGTTTTGTACTATATGCAGTGTATAAGAGGTTTACATTCATAATTGTGGTTTTCATGATTTTAACGTCTTTACACGGCTCTTCGAATACATCTGTGGTTGCTGCAGTAATACTTTGCAGACCACGAGTATATTTTATCCTTGAAAAGCAATGTGAATGTTGCTGGTGAGCATATCGATAGTTCATCCCCTACCAAGTAAAAAATAAAAAGGCAATAAGAAATGACTGGATTAAGTCGGTGGTCCTAGATTCGTCCAGGTAATTTCCTGGTTTTTACTGAGTAAAAGAGAAAATAACACTAGTTTTTTTCCAAGTAACTTGAATATTTCCGCACCTTACAATCGTATTCTTTAGTATTCCTGTCCTTTCCATTTTATCTGTATCACTTAGTTTTTGCTTGTGTTAGGTGTTATCTTTAATTGTACATAGTTTCTTTTTGTATTAGGCATTATTTTTAACTTTAACCTTTATTCTGAAACGCCTGAGAAGAAGTTCGTATGCATCAAATTGCTTTAACCTGAAGCACAAAATTTTGAATAATGAGAGGGTACTCTTAAAACTTTAGTATGTATTTCTATTTTTAAAACTGATTTTTGTTAACTTCATGGCCTTCATGGTCTACCGGTATTAACGGAAGACCTTAGGTAACAATGACCTCAACCAGGTTGTTGCGTCCAGCGGTTTTTGTGAAAACAAGGGTTTGGGTGGGTTGCTCAGTCTCGCGGGCTTATAAAACCTGGTCTCGGTTTCTTATTTTAAGGATTTTCGGTATCAACTTTTCAAACTCGTCGTTCAGTTACTGGTATTTTCTGTTATACGGATATGCGACATCATTATGGCATGATCAGATCGAATAATATCGTCGAAGCACTCACAGGAACCAATTATCACATTCACACCCTGCCGCGGCAGCCAAAAAAAAAAATCAAACAAACAAAGCCTCATCGCTACTCTTTCACTGCTGCTTCGTGTCTTCTTGCTGCTTGGAACGTAATGTCGTCGATTCTCTTTAAATCAAGATGAGGAAGTACCAGCTATAGTGAGGGTATAGTAAGCTCCAGTCCACGATTCACTTCAATGAAGGGCTAGCTCCCTGAAATGTGCTCATGGTGCCAAATTCATGTTATCAAGCCCTTCGACAAAACTAAGCTTTTGTGCTCCATGCAAGAATCCTTGTCGTCCAATACACATAGGTTGTAATGGGCTGCCTGCGATTAATATGACCGAGCAAATTTATTGTATGAATATTTAGTTTCATCAGCATCGTCGTCGCCGTCGTCGTCCTTGTCGACTATTGCCTCATCAGCTACATTCACCTCTTTTCATTCGGGCAATCAGAGCATACTGGCGACTGATGCGTCTTATTTAGGCGTCTCTCAAAGAATGAGTGAGGAATTCAAACTAGCGTAACTTGTGTTTAGTGCTCCAAACAGGATTGTACTTCTTTATTCACACCTGAAATCAGCAAGTGTATGTGTGTAAGAAAATTTTTTTAAAAATTAGTTATAGTATTTAGTTTCACTTCCAATATACCTTTCTCCCGTTTACCGGCTCCAGACATGCGTTTAGTCAACCTCGTCACCAGGGCATTTCCCTTAAAAAATGGGAGGAGTAGCCCTGGGGACGAAGTTGGCGTTACCTGTCACTCAGCCTTGAATATAGCCAGTTATGATTCATTCAAAATATTTACCCCATTCTGATTGGCTAAAAGCACACGCATAATTCACCATAACCAGCTACTGATGACCAAATTTGGAGGAATTTTGGGTTTGAACCGATGACGTCAAAAGTGCAGATTTCTTGCGGGTTTATGCACCGTTAAACGAGAAAACCTGGGGACAAGGCTGAGTTGTTTTGGTTGTGAAAAAAAAAATGGCGGACATTTCACTCGTTTCAAGAGTAAGAACTAGGCGAAATAATGGCTAAAAACATGGCAAGGACAGCAAGAAGAGAACTCGAAGGGCGACATCTGCTATTTGGAGAATATTTGCGGAGCTGAACAACCCTAAACGTGCACTATCGAAGATGAACTTAACATCGATGGAGGTAAGCATGTTTTAGCTAAGTTTTATGTTTTTACACTGGTAATTATTTTGAATGAATAATAAACCAATTATTAAATTCGGCTTTCGTATCATATGAAGAATTATGGAGATCTCGAGGGGTGTTATCCGCCTCGGCCATAACACCCTCCTCGAACTCCATAATTCTTCATACGATACTCAGCCTCATTCATTAATTGTTAATTTTACCCTCCCCGATCCAATCCGAACTTGGGATAAACACTCCAGTGGTCTAAAATTCATACTGTAACTCAGTTATTGTTACGGATCCAAATCTGCACCGGCACAAAACCTATCAGAACATGTTAGTCTCGTGAAACCGGCCTTGTACCAGTTACTTTTGGATCGTTATTGCCTTCTTTACGTTCGGAAGAGACTAGGAATTTGGTCGGGAGCTGGGAAAACGTGATCTGATTTTACCGGCCTTTTGTTCTTGTACCAAGGGAATTTTGGTTTCCATCAAAAACCGAAAAAAGGGAAGAAAACGACAAAGACTGCTCAGCGGAAAATGAAAACGGAGAAAAAAAATGACGAAAACCGAAAAACCAAGGGGATCGAATAAAAAGGCAAATAAATAAAATCCGCTTTACCTTGAGTTGACTTGGTTTAAAACTTTGCAAAATTGTACCATTTCACAAATTTGATCATCAAAACAGTTACGAGAGTAGAATGAAAATATGGGAACCCGAAAAAATCACTTTCTCTTTTTCATTTTGTGACTGTCGGTTCGCATATTAAAAACTTTTTACTGTCAGGGGCCAACAAAAAAAAACAAAAACAATCAAACGGCTTTAGCCGTATCCCAAACCCTCTTAACTGGTAAACAAACAAAGATAAAAAGGCTAACCGGATCCCCAGCAATTAGTGCAAAGTTTGAAACAAAAGATAACTTGGACGTTTATTGCACTGTTAACTTGTCCCCAATATTTTATTTGTGGATTATATATTAATATATAATTTGTAAATAAATATAAAAAATATATTAAATAACCTTTTATTATTACCATTATTAATAATAATTAAAAAAATTTATAACGTCCATTTTCCATGCAAATATGATCAAAAGCGTGTAAAAAATATATAAAAAATTGCTTATTAGGAGACAAAAATCGATATGGTAAAAACCCAGATATAGGAACCAAACGATTATTTAATAAGTGACTTTAACTCTCAATTTATAACAACTCACTCATACAAATTGTTCTTAGTGTAATAAGACGCTTTAGTGTCGTCTTTTTGTAATGGGTATTGGGAAACAAGAGAAGGGGTAGGCCAAGGGAACCACCAAGACCAATTCGTGTCCCTCCTCATTGGATAAGTCTGGGCCCAGTAAAGTATCCTGTTCAAGTGGAGAGTGGGAGATAGCGGGAAACTTTCGCCCTCTCTCCCTAACCCCCTCACTGTTTACTCGCTCTTCACTTTTTTTATGCTGTGCCCACCATGCGAACACCTGGAGCTGCTAAAGAACTCGGCGAGGCTAAAATCTAATTCAGAAAAGAAGGTTAATACAAAAATAGAAAAAGTACCTTTAGAAACACAAAACAAAATCTCTCGAAGTTTTTAGAACAATAATCTCAACTACGGAAGTGACCGTGCCTATATTCTTTTAGCTGTCGGTTGATAAAGAAGGCAATCCCCGTTTTGGGAAAATAAGAACTCATTTAGGACCTACATAGTCTTAATGTTCAGATGCCTAGTATATACAAACATTATCAGGTTAACTTAAAAAATATATAGGTTCTGATAAGTGTGTTTTTGCTTCAGTTTAGGAGCTCCTAGTCAAACGAATGCCGCCCAGTTCAAACGTCGATCTTTTCATGTACAGAACTTAAGACCTATTTAAGTCGACCCAAATGATAAAAGTTTGACGGTTAATTCAGACGTCGAACTTAATTAGTCGGACTCAATTCACTTTCAAAGTGTTCCGATGGTCTAAATTGCTTACAAGTTAAAATAAGTTTTAGTAGTTTACGCATTAGGTTCGGCATAAGTTCGGCGTTTGAAACGGAGTCGCTCCACAGTCAAACTTCCCATGTGGGCCACTCGATCTTAATTCATGGTTTGACCCAAATTAGACACGTCGAACTTAATTGATTCAATCTCTTTATGTGCTTAACTGAAGGGATTAGATTCGGTACATGAAAAGTTGAACGTTTGAACTGGGCCGAAGCGAGCACTTCCTATGTGCTCCTGTCACGGCGTTTTCACAAAACAGTTAATTACTTTTGAGTCATCACATCAAGTGTCAATTGTACATCACACACCGAATGCACACGCAAATAAGGAGCGGAAAAAACAAATTAACGGTCCGTGAAAAGGCATGACATTGGCTAAACAAAAATATGTCAATTTCAAACTATACCTGCTAGCGCCGCCGTCCCATATACATCATATGTTCAGAGATGAGCACATACAATCACTAATCAGCGACCAAACGTAGCAGCGAACAAAACACAACATTAGCATAGAGCTAGATACATCGTGATCAGTGGTGATCAATTTTAGTTTACAACCACTCATTGTACCGTTGGCTGGCAGACAGGTTATGTAGTGCTTTGGAGTATGTCGTCAAAATCAATTAAACGGAACCTTCGTTGTTGACTGTCCTTTCATATGGTGTAATCTGTTTAGTTTTTGCTTGTTTTCATTACCTTTTTCCTCGGAACGTGTTTTAGATATTTTTGAAACTCTTCTTTAATTCTGATATGGGGGGCTCTTCTTAGCCCTACTTAAAAGTTACCTGCGAATACAACTGTCTGTGATCGTTTCGGCCGCCAGGGTCGTTCGTTCAGGGAAACCATGGGCAACCAAAACCGTGCGCCTAGCGTCCGCAACGATCAGAGACGGTTGTATTCGCAGGCAACCTTTAGATTACAGGCATCCCAGTTGGATCCACAACTATCTTGATAAAAATCGAATCATCACGGATGTAGCCCCTAGATCTCAAGAGATTATGTGTACAGAAGGTAGGACAGCCCGAAGCGATGTTCATATCCGAACGCGGTTTTTGAAAACTCGAGCTGTTCGGGTCCGGTCGGAAGGACTCGGTAACATCCGAGACTCGATCTTGATCCAGCAGCTTCATTGTGATCTTTTGGCGAAAAGGCCAACTCAATAAGCCATCGTATTCCCCTCGCATTACTACGATAAACAACGACAAATATTTCCCTTTGCCCATTGGCCCATCACCATTGAGATATGCGCGTACGCAAAGCTTATATCCATAGCGGGCAGTGTAAAATGGAGGACTGTAGATGGATATTGTTTTCCCATCAACTGCTTCACGAAATCTACGTTGAAATTCATCGATTTTCCACAAAAAAATCCCATCATACGATGTGGTCTCCATAATCTGTAGTTTAAGGTCTTGGTCCGCCAGCTGGATTTCGTGCAGAGCTAAAGAATGTTCCACACGATCGAACCGATGATCGCTTCCACCAGCACTTGCTGAAGCCGCGTAACGAGGACGCGCCGGTGCCTGGTTGAGCCGCCTGACGTCTTCCCCCAATACCGCTAACCTTTCATCTTGAAAATCTAAACGGCGTATTATGTCAACCATGTTCAGACCCGCTGTAGTATTTTCTCTGGAGTTCAACTCGGTCGTTAGTTGTTGACGAATCTCGTCTATACTCGTACGCTGTTCAGAAAGATTTTCCTCCACTTTCGTTAGCTTCATCTGATGCGTGGACAGCGTTTGTCTATTGAGTACTAGAGCCTCGTTTTGTAAAGACAGCCTTTCCTCGTATGTTTGATTCATTGCCAGTGAAGCATTCAACTGAAGTTGTAAATTTCTCATCTCCTCCGTAACTTTCTCGACGTAATTACTACATAACATTAGGTGTTCTGTGGTAAATGACTCGAGATGTTCATCTAAGGAATCCCTTGGACCTTCAAATTCACAGCCCATGGATTTAAACTTGCACTGTGTTGGCGCGCGCGGGCATGATATTGAATGCTCTGCAAGGTGTTCCCGGAGAATTTCACTCTCACCACAACCATGAGGACATTTAACTGGAAACTTTCCGCACTCTTCTAAATGTTCCCTCATTTTAACCCCAGGATAACCAACCCGGCAGTAAGGACATTCCGTGACCTTATACACACAATCATTCTCTACATGTTTAGCTAATTGGTGTCTTAAGATAACTACATTGCAACCAAGATTACTATACAGACATTTCACTTTTGTATAAGAACATTCGGCATCGTGATCCTGAAGATAAGCTAGTAATCCGGTCCATAGACAGCCAAGTGATTTATTAGGACAATAACACTCCAGGGCAAGTATCTCTTTCTGAGCACACTTGTCCTTAAAAACTTCTTCTCTTTTAAGAACCTCTCCATCATCCGGGCATTTAGCCTCACCTGGCGGTTTCTGTTTCAAAATATCATCCAAGCATGACCAGCAAAACCTGCAAGTTAAGAGTCAGAGGTAAGAATTATATCGTCTTCACTGAAAGGAAGGCATTTGACACAAAAGGCCTGGTTAAACTGACTGCACTGATAGAGAATTATAATTCTACCTGTTAAGTGACAAATAACTGTTTGTATAGTTAAGAAATTTAACTCACCTATTTTTAACTAGCCTGCGAGCAAGCTCTCAATGAGGGGAATTGGTATGCGAGAGCACAGGCGACAGTGAGGAACACCCCTTGCCGCTTCACTGCCCACTTGTGTGTTTTTGCACAAGTTGCTTTGTTAACCCAAAGAAGAGCTTGTTTGCACACTATTTTTTAACTGATAGAAATTTGTCACACGGCTGCCATTTTGTCTTAATAGATTTAAAAAGCTTCGTTTACGCACAGCTAGCCTTGTGGAGAAAACGAGGCTAGTTGTGCATAAACAAGGCTGTTTAAGACAAAATGGCCACCGCATAACAAATTTCTATCAGTTAAATAATAGCACGCAAACAAGCTCTTCTTTGGGTTAACAAAGCCACTTGTGCAAAAACACACAAGTGGGCAGTGAAGCGGCAAGGGGTGTCCCTCACTGTCGCCTCTGCTCTCGAGTACTGATTTCCCTCACTGAGAGCTTGCTCACAGGCTAGTTAAAAATAGGTGAGTTAAATTTCTTAACTATACAAACAGTTATTTGACACTTAACAGCTAAAATTATAGTTCTCTATCAGCAGAGTCAGTCAGTCAGACAAAGGTCTATAGGCATGATTATAAACTAAGGAGCAATGCATTGTGGAGTAAATGAAACTTTCTTCTCGCAACTAAGATTTCTGGGATCCCAAGCTAGGCCCTCTTCATAGAAGATTGGGTCAGTTTCATGAAGTAGCATTTTTACTACAACCACTAGAATCCTTTAGTCTGTTGTATTTTTTTAGATTCTGGGTTTTTGTTATTTGAACATCACTATATATCAAACAGAAATAAGAAAGGAAAAAAAAAAAGAATTCAGGCAGTTGTGGTCAAACAACATCATCTTGTAATAAATAGAACTATTATTGCATTCACTACTGACTTTCCTAGAAATTTGAATGGAGGAAGATTCTTCTAGGAAGACAGTAGTGAAAGAGGAAAAACTTCACCAGCAGCAAATATGATGAAAGATCTTCTGGTTACTTAGAGAGGGAAACTACAAAAAAAGCTAGAAAATAGATGTCCTCACAATCTTCAAATTGTTGGGTTCTATTTGCAGATACAAGGTTGGGTACAACTGAGCACATGAGGATTACGGTCAGGTTTTCGAGCTACAGTATTTAAGTTACAGAACAGTATCAAACCCTCTGTCCAAAGACCACTAAACGAGAAAGGTTAATCTTGGCAAGTTTGTAATTATTATTTTGTACTTGCCATGACTTCACGGCTACTGTACAGAAAGACATTGCATAAGATCAGGGATCGTTTTTCAAATACGTAGTGACGTCATTTGCCCTGCAACCAATATGGAAGTCACAAAAAGGTAAACGTATTTATCTGATACGTTTGAACAAGCTGAAGCGTGACATGTTTGCTCTTTATTGGGCAATGATCAATGGCGTCAAAAATTTTAACATTGCAACTACGAAATTTAATGTTTTTAGCAATGATTCATGCAATCACTTCTGGGTAAGATGATAAGCTAATCAGATGGTCAAGCAATTTTGCCAAAATGCCGCACCACCTACTACCTACTACTTTTTCTTCGAAATATAAGTAAGCTTAACTAATATTACGCCGCCTTGGTCACGCTTAGATTCATTTCAATCGTCGATCCACATTGACTTTCGACTCAGCAATGAATATATTTCTTCGAACCTAACACGTCACTGAAAAGGAACTTAAGCTTACAGCAGCCGTTCGGGATTATCAACGAAATTCTTGAACGTTAGTGTAAAATAAAATAAGCTTAACCTTGTTTGCCTAAAGAATCCTGAAAACTGAATACAAAAGAACGAAATTTTAGCATGAAAGCATTACTGTAAATCTGCCACTCGTACGGCAAAGGAACGGTTGTGTTTCACTCAAGTACAGTATAAGCTTTCATGGCGCGGCCTTTGTCGATGACCAAAGGCACATTTGCATCAAAAAAGGAGCGCAATACGTCCTTGTTGTTCACCGGTAAAAGAATCATTCCAGCCCAAAGATCGGTTGACAAACAGAATGTTCTAGAACTTCCTGTTGGAAAGACATACAACTTTTACAACTTACCTATGACCACAACTGGATTGGACTGGATCTTGTAGAACATTGTGGCATTGTATACATTTGTACCGCTTTTCCAATCCTCCTACCACAAATTCGACAACATTTCGCGAATGAGACATTCGCCTGATGGCGCCTTACTGCTTCTAGATGATCAAAGGTGTGTCGCACTTCCGTGAGAAAGCGAAAATTATTCAACTTCGTAATCTTTCGAAAGTGAAACTGCTGAAATTTGAAGGGGAATCCCCGAGCAGTCTCGAGTATCTTTAGCAAACTGATAAAATTTGACAAAATGAGGTACCGTACGTCATACCCAGGTGCTTCTTGGGATTGTTCAGCGAAGCGGAAAGCGGAAAGGCGCATGGGAAGCCAACATCTTACCAAGATGGCGTCGAAATAAATTTCGCACCATTTTATTTTTATTATGGACTGTCGTCATGTCATTTTCTGTACATGTCTAAAAATAGACCATGACGTTAAACCCTGGTGTGGCCAATCACCTGCGCAGCCAGTGTGCCACTTTGTTTATTCATGGGAAAACGATGGGAAAACGGTCGATCATAGCGTACGTGGAGCAGTACATTCCAGCAGAGTATGATGATGATGATGACGATAAAGATGATGAAACTTTATTAAGGTGTCTAAAGAAGCCTCCTAGCTTAGGTTAAAAACCTATGCTAATTAGGGGACACAAAATAAATACAGTGAAACCTGTATTAAGCGGACACCGTATTAAGGGGACACCCTCTATTAAGCGGACAGTAGCGGAAGTCCCCAAATTTATTCCCCTTATTTTCTTTAAATGACACCTTTATTAAGCGGACACCTCTATTAAGCGGACGCGGACACCTAAAAAGTACCTGAAATAGTCATCTCTATAGTTTCCAACCTGTATTAAACGGACACGTGTAATTAAATTCCACCACCCAACATGCCAGACACCGGAAATGCGAAAGACTGCCACCCGCCACCCACAATTTTCATTTATACCTTAAAAAACGCACGCAGGCCCCTTTCTTGCATCCGCTCGATTTTACGAGAATCACTGGCTCGGCAAAAGTGCCACACAAGGTGGCAATATGTAAGGTGCGGCAATATTGCTGTTTTAAAAAGCATAAGTTTAGCATTTGTCGGAATCAAGTTTCTAAGTCTCATAAGGACGCCAATTTTCTGACCGGCAATTTTACAGATCATGTTAAATGTGCTCTGAAAAATTCAGCTTAGAATCTTGTGACACCCAACAATTTGAGAGAGTCAGTTATACTAATATCATGATTGTTTAATCTGATCACTTGAGTGGTGTTATTATCGCTTTGGCCATGTCCGATGTTCATGGTTTGATATTTCTTCAAGTTCCCGGCTAGAAGATTTGAGTTGTACCTACACTCTTTTTTTTTATAAGAATGTTGTTTTTCCGGCCCAGGCTGGATATTCTTATTTTTCTGCCGATTTTAGGCTGAAAATATTCTTGTTTTATTCTTAAATTATAGCTTGCTGTTTTTGTTTTCGCTAGGTTTTGTTATTTAAAAAGGAAAGAATTTGTCATAATACTTTTTTGCGGTTTAGTTTATATCTTTTGTGCTGAATACTGTACATATGTATTACATGTACCGTTCATCGAACTGTCATTAGCGTTGAACATTTTGCTATAGCTAGTGCAGGTTTTTTTCTTTTGTTGGCTAGTTTCGTCGTTCAGAGAAAGGAATAATTTTATACGGTTAAGTTAAAAACATAAAATTGTATTGTATTTACAGATGTTTCAACACACAAAATTATATCTATCCTTTTCAAAATCTCAGCCTCGGCTTTATTCTTAAAATATTCTTAAAATTTCGCAAATTTCAGCCTCGATATTCTTATAAAATATATTCTTATAAAAAAAAAAGAGTGTATTAGTGGCTTGCTGTGCACTTTCCTTTAGCATTAACATAACAGAAGACTGATCCCGTCCTGTGTGATAGATCTGATGATCGTCCGCGTACATAGACAAGTTAGTTGTTACACAGTACGACAAATCGTTCTGGAATATATTCCAAAGTAAGGGACCTAGAGCGGATCCCTGTGGACAGCCTCGGTTAACCGTCCTACTTGAACTGACAAGGTCTCCAATCTTCACCCGGTAATTGCGATCACACAGAAAACTCTCCAGAAGCCGAACTGTACTGCTCTCAAAGCCGTAGGCGTTGAGCTTACTCAATAGTAGTGGTGGATGGAGTGAATCAAACGCTTTTGACATGTCAGTTGACAGCAAGCTCACAACCAGTTTATTCCTATAAACGCGGTAGAAATTACTAACATGTTCTCACCAGGGCTATCAAGTGCACTTGAGTGCACTTTATTCGTAAGTTCGTGTGAACTCCTTTGTGAGGGCGTCTTTTAAAAAATCTGTGAATCGAAAAAAATAATATATACTTGTTCACCTACCTTGAAAACCGACCAAAATCTCACCTAAATCGTGTTGAAAAAAAATGCACTGAATATTTCACGAGACACTTCCAATATGGCTTTCGATACACTGTCCACTTAGAAAAATTGTGTATGTCCCATGAAAAGTCTTAAAGGTATGCCTGAGAGCCTCGAAACGGTGACTGTGGTCGTTTAGGTATTTCCTCGAGAACAATAGCTCCATGACGTCACAACTGTTTTAAAATTTAGGTATATTCTAGCCTGTTCCAGGCTCCGAGATAGTTGGGCCAGCTGAATTGAGAAAGCGAGAAGACGAAAATAAAACGAGAGGAAACTAGGCAGAGCAGGGCGGCGGAGCCTGTAATCATTTCTTTAAACGACCTGTTCCGGTATACCGGCTCCTGGTATACCCTCTGATTGGTCAGATTTGACAGATTATATCAACACTCTCAAAGCGGGTCGTTCCTGTCACTCAGAAAGATGGCATGCGGCGTCCACGCGCGTGAAATAGTGTGTTGAACAAATCTTGACGAGATTTCCCGCACACAGGAGCGCTGAGGAAGGAACAAAAGACCTGCCTTGTGAACTTGGCGCGAGAAAAAAATGTTTTTGCAATCTTGCCGACCTGCTTCGGTCTTGCTTGAGAACAAAGTGACAATACCAGATCAGTCGCAAGAAGAAGTTATCTTCGCGCTCCAGTCCAGACTCACATTATCTAAGGATCTCTTTAGAAAAACAAGCTGCAGTTTAAAAATCCTGACTCACAACGCAGTTCTCCATATTTTAAAGTAGCTTCAGTTTAAGCTGCAATCCATTCTTCGAAATTTGGATCTGTGAATCATTAACCGTGAGAATTTAACATCCTGCAAAACACTGACGAGCTGTGCCCAGCGTGACAAAACTCGTTGAAGCAGGGGCACCCAACGAGAATATGGTTCAAAACCACTTAAACATAGCATTGTTAAACGTGTTTTAGTATTTAAACAGTGGATATGGGCATATTTTTTATCCCTTATAAATTTTTCATGTGTTCGATTTCCTGGCTGAAAGTCTACTGATCCGAAAATTATAGGGATCAAAACTTACCTGTTCAAAAATTTCAGCCACAAAAAAGGCTCCCGAAAATTTTAGGTGACCTTTTTAGGGTAAAAATCCGCTTAAAATGGGCAATTTTACCATTTTTTAGATGTTCGAAAATCCTAGGAGAGGCAGGCAAGCAAGAAATTTTACAACAAATGTTCCAAAAATTCTAGGTCTCAAATCGTCTTTCGAACAGATATTTTTCCGAAAATTGTCGTTGGGTACCCCTGTTGAAGGAAGCCATCACATACTTTCGCGTCTTCCCCACTATCTGAGAGCCTGGAACATGTTAGGGATATTCCGGACTGAACGTTGGATCAAACGAGATCGTGATCAGTCGAAAAAGATAAAAATAGAATTAAAGCAAAAAAAGACTTCTGCAAAGACTGATCAAACAGCGTGGAAAAGGCTGAGATGAACAATATTTCGACTCAACCTCGTCCCCAGGGCTTTTCCCATTTTTTAAGGGAAAAGCCCTGGGGACGAGGTTGTATTTCGACTAGCCAATACCAGTCTTTATCACGGGTTTATATAGACTGTTCACAGTCCTCTATTTTTCCGTAAGATTGTCGAGATCGGGCGCTTTGCGTTACGGGCTGCCATCTTGCATGAGTGTCAAAACTACTCGGGGGGTGGGGGTGGTTCTCGCCCCCTCCCCCTAACGCTATAATCCCCGACGCCCGCCCCCTCAGTACATTTGAAAATCAGGATGGCCGCCATCAACGAGTAAGACGCGCTCATATCTTAACGATCTCACGAAAAAATAGGGGACTGTGAACAGTCTAGGTTTATTAGGAAAAACCACGAATACACATGTATGACTGTGGCGGCTATGAAAAATAAACCGAAATAAAGATAAAGGTTAATAGATAATGATTATAATTCGTCACGTTTGTTCATTCCCAGGCAGAGGCTCGATGGTTTTGGCTTTATGAATGAGGCGCGCCTCACGTGTTTTCCTAAGACAATCACGTTCTGCTTCATATCTAAGTGTTTCAGTAGGGATAAGTAACATATGGGAAACGGAGTGGCTATTGCTGAGGAAGCGTTCTGAAACTGCAGTTTGGATGTAACTACCGGAGGGGTTAAGTATAGTGCGTCTATGTTCATTAAAACGGTCCTTGAGGCGGCGTTTGGCCCAATTTATACTACTACATGGGAAATTTCTGCGATTTGATTGGCCTAGAGCAGCGGTATTTCAGCTTAATTTGAAATACCTACATGTGAAAATTACAAACCTTTTGCGGGTAGTCGTTGCGTTCGACGAATGAGAACGCTTACTATTCGTGTACCGTACACGAAGTAGTAACCGTTATGTATGCCTTTGGACGCCATCATGGACCACCCTGGCACACTTTGCCTCGATCTCATGTGTTCAGTTTTTCTCGCCCGGGAGCTGGTATCCATTTTGTGACACTTGTTACGCGGGATGACGTAGTCAGCCAGCGTCTTAAATTCGGGAGCGCATTCCTTTCGTCGTCTTGGGAGTCAAAAATTGCCTTGTTCTTTTTAACTTTTCCGTATCCCGTGCCCGTCCCGAAAAATTGTGTAATTTTTATTGGCTGCAACTTCAAATCACGTGCAAGTCAGGTTAGATTGCAAAAGGAGAAAAAAGATTCTGCGTCAGCAAAGAAGGAAAAAGTAAGCTTACAGCGTAGAGGAGGATGAAGACTCAAGGCTGTGTTCTAGATCTAACGGCGCAAGACTTGGCCTCGGGCGACTGAAAATATTGTCTAGGTGCCCCAGCCGGGCGACTTGCTGGTGTTGGTTTCTTGATTCTGTTGATTTACAGTCAAAAAGCTAAGAATGTCTAAAATTTATTACTTGCGAAATCGTAGCTC